AAAGTATTTACATCTGTGGGCATAATGGTAAGAATATAAGGTTAAAAAGGTAAAAAAGAACCATACAGAGAAAATGTGTCATAAAGGCACAATTTTATATGACACTCACAAAATGGTTTGGTCACTTCTAGTCAGAACCCCAATAACTTGCCAAAGGTTTTCTCTAGTCACAGATTAGACGTATTTTTCTCAAACTTATCTTTTTGTTTCCTAAGGCAGTAATAGTTTAAAATCCATATATGGAAATAAATAGACTCTATATGTGCAGATTATATTTTAGGCCAAATTAGTCATGGTGAAAAACTAGTTATTTAACGCCTCTACTGTGGTGAACTGCTTGGGGGGAATATTCTGCTATGGATCCTCAGGGCTCCTTCATGCACGGATCTTGACCTAGGCTTGGCTCCTGCTTCTGATATCCTGTGCTCCAGACTTTAATTCTGATGTACCCCAGAGCCTGACCTCTAAATTCCTGGCCTTGATGGATAGAAATCCTGACCCTAATTGCTTGTTTTGTTTGATAATTTGAATTTAGCATTCGTTTTCTTAAACTGAACTCTGTTTCCTATTAACTCTGCATGATGATTTGAAATTATTTAATACTGGTCTTTAACTTTGTATGGACATTTACATGAGACCCACAAAATCAGAAGATATACAATATTAAAGGAATTCTATAGTTTTGTTCAACAGTTTACCGGCGGCTGTTTTAGAGAACACTGCAAAATGAATTGACAAGTGACTTAAAAACACTGGTCTACAAAGCATGTATTTGTAGTACCAAAGGCACTTTATCATTACTATACATGGTATCTTCAAGTTAGTATGCAATACTGATACGGTTTGGCTCTGTATCCCCACCCAAATCTCATCTTGAGTTGTAATCTCCACATGTTGAGGGAGGGACCTGTAGTCCCCATGTGTTGAAGGAGGGAGGTGATTGGATCATGGGTGCGGTTTCACCCATGCTGTTCTTGTGATAGTGAGTTCTCAGGAGACCTAATGGTTTTATAAGTGGTTGGAAGTTCTTCCTTCTCTCATGTTGCCTTGTGAAGAAGGTGCTTGCTTCCCCTTTGCCTTCTACCATGATTGTAAGTTTCCTGAGGCCTCCCCAGCCATAAGAAGTGTGAGTCAATTAAACCTCTTTCCTTTATATAAATTACCCAGTCTCAGGAAAATTCTCTGTAGCAGTGTGAAAATAGACTAATGCAAATAACATTAAAATCAGGCTGTCTTTCTATAGCTCACAATTCTTAACACCTGGAAATTTCCAGATTATTCCATTTCTGAAATCCTATAGATATCCACTTTTTATAAATACTCAAAAAGAAATTTAATAAAAAAAGAATAAAATACAGTTTATATAACTTAAGCAGGTTTTGTCACGAAAGTTGGCACTGAAGGAACAATGTTATTAACATCACAAAGAATTTGGGGAAAAGAAAGATTTCACCAATTACTTTCATGTATCTCAAAAGAAATAAAGACTCAGGATTTTTAAAGTCGTTAAATGTATATAGCTGCAATACTAAATATTTAAGCACAGTGAATTTAAAAAATTATTTTATGTATATATTTTTTCTTTTTTCTTTTTCTTTTTTTTTTTGAGATGGAGTCTCACTCTATTGCCCAGGCTACACTGCAAAGCATGATCTTGGCTTACTGAAACCTCTGCCTCCCGGGTTCTAGTGATTCTTCTGCCTCAGCCTTCCTAGTAGCTGGGACTACAGGTATGCACCACCATGCCCTGCTAATTTTTGTGTTTTTAGTAGAGACGAGGCTTCACCATATTGGCCAGGCTGGTCTCGAACTCCTGACTTCGTGATCCGCCCGCCTTGGCCTCCCAAAGTGCTGGGATTACAGGTGTGAGCCACTGTGCCTGGCCTAAAAATTATTATTTATAAAGTACCTTTCAGTTTATAGGATATTTCTATAAATAATTATTTTGTCTGCAATGTAAACTCCATGAGAGAAACATTATCATCCCCATTTTACATTTAAATTTTCTTTGATCATCTCATTTCCAGTAGCATTCACCTTTATTCCACTTTGGCCGACTTCCTTCTAAATTTCATCTTGGTGCTTGCCATCACTCAGAACCAATCCTTGAAAGTACTACATTAGAATACTTTACTCGTGATCTACAGTCTCCTATCTTCCCAGGTCTCTTATTCAATCATCTTTATTATACCCATGCTTCAACCCTACTGGAATGTCAAGGCCTTTCCCCCATCTAACAGTCTTTTTATCTTCACTTCCTTCTCTATCCAGCTTAGTGTCATGGTCATCACTTTAATCTTAGCTCTTATCCCATTGTCCTTTCTTTGCACAAATACAATAAAATATCTAACATAGATGAATCCAGCTGTTCACTGTGGCCTTGCCTCTTCCTGAACTGTTGAACTCAAGCTGCTCAGCCAGCATCATGATACATTTATGATATTAATTTCAACTAAATCTGCAGTGTCCGCTGACTGAATCCTTTTATGTTTCATAATCCGTTGGCTCTCTAGTTCTCTACAATAGTTCTTTCAGATCTGTTTTTTTTTTTTAAATTTTCCTCAAACTTCCAATCCTGTTATTTCAAAGAAAAATTGGAGACTATTACATATATTTTTTGTTTTCCTCAAACTTCTGATCTATTGTTTCAAAGAAAAAAATAGAAGCTGTTATGTAACTTTCTGCCACAGGTAAGAAATTAAACTCAGAGAAGTTATGTAGATTGGTCAAAGTTCATAGCTAGTAAAGGGCGAAGCAAATCAGTATGACTCTATAGTCCATGCTCTTAACATCTACATGTAAGAGTGTTTCCTACTTTATCCATTTCAGTTTCTGCCCTGCCATTCTTCTAGTTCTTCAAGGCAAAAGCCTAGGCTCCATCCTTGGATCCTTCTTCACCTTCACTATCAACAACTAATTATCTGTCTACTTCTAAATTCATTAGCACTTTCTTAGAGCAAGATGCCATCATCATGGATTTCAGCAATAGCCTTCAAATTCAGTCCTGTTCTCCAATTCAGTCCTGTTCTCTAGACTGAAGATAGTGTAATCTTTCCAAATGCAAACCTACCCGAGCCAACCTACCAACTCCTTAGTTCAACTCTCCCAACTCCTTCATGTTTAATTCTTTAGATCATTTCAGGACCTGAGAAGGGATGTGTGGCTAGAATGGCTGAAGAGAGAAACAGGGGTCAGACCACGCATTTTGACCACATTCAGGATTTTCATCTTTATCCTAAGTACAATGAAAACCCATCATCCTAAGTACAATGAAAATCCATCAAATTATTTTGAGGAAGAAATAATAAGATCAGATTTCTATAGCAAAAAGAAAACTATCTCTGTTCACCACAAAAACCTCAGCACTTAGATCTATATCTGACAAACTGTAGAGATATTATGCAGAAAACATATAAGAAAGGGAAGCAAGAGTAAATGTGGATAGATTACTTAGATGATAGTAATCTACACTAGGGTGATAAGGAGAACTCTACGAAAAACACAGATTTTGATGACAGGAAATGAGAAAGGTTTAGTGACAGACTGTATTTGGCGGGAAAGCTGAAGAGGGAGCTATCAGCAATTCACTGAAAATGAGAACACTGGATGAAGGTCAGGTTTGGTGAGGAAATAAGAGTTTGATTTGGGAGTAGTTAAGTATGAGATAACTGAGATATCCAACAGGAGTTTTGTTGTTATTGCTGCTGCTGCTGCTGTTGTTGTTTGAGACAGGGCCTCGCTCTGTCACACAGGCTGGAGTGCAGTGGCATGAGCATGGCTTACTGCAGCTTCGACCTCCTGGGCTCAAGGGACCCAATCCTTCCCACCTCAGCCTCCTGAGTAGCTGGGACTACAGGCACACACCATCATGCCAGGCTAATTTTTATATTTTCTTGCAGAGACAGAGTTTTGCCATGTTGCCCAGGATGGTCTCGAACTCCTATGCTCAAGCGATCTGCCTGACTTGGCCTCCCAAAGTGTTGGGATTGCAGGTGCCTAAGAGGAGATTTTAAATAAAGACATGGGTACATAGACCTGGAATACAAAGAAGTCTGGACTGGCAATATAAATTTGCTAACTGAATGTGTGGACTTGGAGTATATACCTAAGAACATAGAGCAGAACACAAAGAAAAGGACCTGGCACTGAGCAGGTCATTTAATAGCTAGACAGGAAAGGATGAACTTGCAGAGGAAAAAGGAAAGGCAAACAGCCAAAGAGGTAAGAAGAAATCAGCAGAATGCCGTGACATGGAAGCCAACAAAAAAGAGTATTTCAAGAAACAAGGTGAGTCAACAATGTGGAATGCTGCTGAAAATTCAAGTAAGATAAACACTGAAAAACATTCATTGGAATTAGTGAAATGGAAGCCATTTGCAATCTTATTTCAAGTTGCAAAAACTCTTTATGGTATTTCTCCTCAGCACATCTACCTGTGCTTTCCCCCTACCTTCCAATAATGAAACAGAATCCCTAAGAGTCTCATAATAAGACGTGTATTGGGGGTGGGCTCTGCATGGATCTGGAGAGGATTAAAAAACTAGAACTTAAAGAGGAAAAAATTTGGCAGCTTAGACAAAAGCAGGTAGCCAAGCATCTACAATCAAAGATAAATAGTAAAATGCAGCTCCTGCTGGGGTAAAGCATAAAAATTGTGCCTAAGATAGTCTGAAGAGAGAAGTATATTCACTTTTATTTTTAAACAATAAATAATATGGTCTCATACATTTCATTCTTTGTTTAGCCATAATCACCAGGGATTTTGTCAGATTTCTTGGAGCTTATTTTCTAGCTAATGGATAATATGGTATATTATAGAGTCAGAGAGTACTTTTCTCAAATATATGCAACTAGATGAGAAATAGTACATGACATCAGCAAGCATACTTCCTGGAATTTGAAAGGTACTCAGCATATATTGATTGAATTTGAATCATTATTAAAATTATGAACTAATTTCTGACATGTTATTGATCCATATGCAGTGAAAATGTTGTTACCTTGAATATCATCATTGAATGTGCAATACTGGTTTCGATACTTGTTCAGGAGACGAAACGCATTCACATTGGCAAAGTCTTCAAACTGAATAAGGCAATTCATGCCGTACCTACGGGACACAAACATTCATATTAGAAGAGGCTAATAAAATGCTATTTAAAAATAAACTTTTAAAATTAGCCCATAGAAATAGGAAAACATATTTCCTTTTAAAGGTTCTGTCTTGCTGTTTACGTATAAATATGTAATATAATATCTGTTCAACAAATATTTACTACATGCTTACTACAGAAAAGGCATTGTGTTGGCACCGTGAAATAACACAAAATGACCAAAATATGTTCCCTTTCCTTAAGGAATTTAACTTTTAGTAGAAACAAAAATGTTTGAAGTAAATAAAAAGTAATATAAAAGTGGTATAAACAAGGAATGATAGGTGTTCCGAGGACAGATACCACTTCTGGCTGTGATCAAAGACAAAGCAACCAATGAACTGAGTTTTAATGAATAGTTATAATTTCAAAAGTAGAGATGTAGGGTTTTATAAGCTGAGGAAAAACAGAAGCAAAATAACTGAGGTGAAAGATAAAAAAGAAAAAGTGTTTCAAAAAATGGTTTAAAAGCCCTGTTTGGCTATAACGTGGTAGTAAACGTAAGGGTGTAGTGAAAGATACAGTCAGATCTTCATTGTGGCCCTTCCATTTCTCCCATCTAGCTTCATCTCTGTATGCAAAGACAGTTATCGAAATAGTGTATTGGCTGTCTCCTTAGACACCCTTGTCCCCTTGTTCTCCATCATTCCGAATCTCCTTTTCTATTAAGATAGCACATAAATCAATGCTATTGAATCTCAGCCAGGATCTCAATAATATCCTGAAATATTTGTTTTCATCTGTTACTGGTCCACAACACAATCTCCAAAGCAGGTGCAATCACAAAATACCTCAGCCCGGATTAAGGTGTCAGCAGATTCCGTGTCTGGTGAGGGTCTTTTTCCCATGGATAGTGCCTTTTTGTTACATCTTTGCATGGGAGAAGGGGTAAACATGCTTTCTTCAGTCTCTTTTATAACGGCACTGATAAAACATTCATGAAGGATGGGGCCTCATGGCTTAATCACTTCTCAAAAGGCCCCATCTCTTAATACTTTCACAATGGCAACTACATTTCAACATACACAACTTAACGTGTAATAGTAATGATTAGACCACAGCAGCAGCTTTCACAAACCTTCTTTCATTCTCCTGTTCTCCCAAGTCTCTTACCAGTCACTACGTCACTAAGATCAATGCTAGAGAGAATAATATTAACCTTCTCAGTTTCCCCCTACATTAAAATATTTTGTACTTTTATTTCTATTTTCTTCCTCAACTTGTGAGAAGGATTTTTGCTTCCTTGTTTTGAATCTCCCTATGGACCTTACTGAATCAACTGCACCTCTCTATACTAACAACTCCAATTTCTCCTTTACCACTGGTCCTTTCCTGTCCCCAAGCATTTTCAGGACTACCTGATTTTAAAACCACCTCCCTTGACTATGACAAAATCAAAGCTATAGTTACTTATGCTTCTTCCCCCTGATGTCAAACGTCTCATAACAGAGAATGTTAAACCTTGCACTCATTTCTCACTTCTTGTCAACATTCTAATTCAAGGACAGTCTCAAACCACTACCCCTTGATATCACAAGGCAGATGAGTTTTCTCTCTTTTTCTTCTGATACAATAAAAAAAAAAAAACTCTGTAAGTCTGTTATTTCCCTTCAATTATGTTAATTTATATATAATTATATATTTATCCTGGGTAGACTATCTTTCTAAATTACTATAAAAGTCATAGGTGAAAGCTGGTATTAACTTTTTATTTATTTCTTTTTATTACTAGTGTAGCCTAGCATCTTTATCTGTCTATTCGTCATTTGTAATTCTTTCTGGAAGATTGTATGTTCATTTGTTCATTTTTCTATTTTTTTTTTCATTTTTATTACTTTATTATGCCCATAAAAGTCTAGAGTCACTAGCTTCTTTTATCCATCTTTGGTGCTGGTATAAAAACACATTTCTTATTTTAGGTTATGTCTTTAAGCAGCATCACTTTCTTTGATTTTCCTTTTCTAATTAAACTGCTATCTTTGAAATTTTTAATTATTATGGATACATAATAGTTGTACATATCTGTTGGGTACATACGACGTTTTGATACATGCATCAATATGTAATGATAAAATCAGGTATATTTCAAAATAGCTGGAAGAGAAGATTCAGAATGTTCCCAACATAAAGAAATGATAAATGTTTGAAGGAGATCCTAAATCCCCTCATTTTTCTATTGTTATAGTTGTTTTCTTTGTTATTTCATAAGAATAGTACCTTCTGTTACATATGTTGCAAATAGTTTTTCTAATGTAGTACACTGTACCATTAATTATTTAGACAGTGTTCCTAATTGTTTTCACAAATAAATTTTAAATTTTTATGTGGTTAGATCTTTCAATCCTTTTATTTATGGTTTCTCCTTTGATGAAATGCTTACAACAGTCTCCTCTACATATATTTATTTAACTATTAATGAAAAATTTCTTCTAATTATATTATAGATTTAGAAAATAGTTAACCTCTAAATCTGGTATACTTTTACTGTTAGGCCATAGATTTTAAAAAAGCAAGCTATACCAAAATTTCTGTTTTCTGTATAATCACCCAACTATGCCAGCACCATTTATTTAACAGTCCATCCTTCTCCTCATCACCTATATTTAGATACTATATTCTGATACATAGTAGGGTCTGTTTCTGTGCTTTCTTATTTTATTCTACTACTGCTGATGACAACAAATACGTTTTCCTTTATAAGATATTACACATGCACACTTACTCTTCACAACCACTCTATGAAGTAAATACTATTATTATTCTCATCTAATAGATGAGGACACAGGCACACAGGTATACCACATCGGTACTGCTCAGTAATATAGTCTAACAGTAATGATTATCTTACTAATCTATAAAGAAAAGAATACCTCCCTGCTTTAATTCCTATAGCTTTATAGTAATTTTAATATTTAGTACTGTTAACCATCTTTTATCCTTCTTTTTAAGTATTTACTTGGCTGTCATACTGGTTTACAAGCTGTCATACTGGTTTACAAGTATTTACTTGGCTGTCATACTGGTTTATTACAGAGCATAGGCTCTGGAGTCAGAGCTCCTGGGATCAATCTAGTCCTCCTTACATACTGTGCATTCTTAACTGTTCTGTGCCTCTGATTTCCTATCAGAAAAATGAGAATAGTAACAGCCTATTACCATAAGGTTGTTAGCAGGATTAAATGAAGTGATAAACGTTAAGTGCTCAATGCAATGACTGGCACATAAGTACTCTATAGCCATTTAAAAATCTACAGATTTTTAAAAATTATTTAATAGTAACAATAGAAGCCACAGGCAGGTAAATAATATACTCAAAGGGCTAAGAGAAAATAACTGTCATCCTAGACAAAGCTATTCTTCAACAGTAAGGTTTATGCAGCCAGCAAACATGTGAAAAAAAAGCTCATCATCACTGGTCATTAGAGAAATGTAAATCAAAACCACAATGAGGTACCATCTCACGCCAGTTAGAATGGTGATCATTAAAAAGTCAGGAAACAACAAGACGCTGCAAAGGATGTGGAGAAATAGGAACGCTTTCACACTGTTAGTGGGAGTGTAAATTAGTTCAACCATTGTGGAAGACAGTGTGACGATTCCTCAAGGATTTAGAATCAGAAATCCCATTTGACCCAGCAATCCCACTACTGGGTATATAACCAAAGGATTATAAACCATTCTACTAAGACACATGCACATGTATGTTTATTCTAGGACTATTCACAATAGCAAAGACTTGGAACCAACCCAAATGCCCATCAATGATAGACTGGATAAAGAAAATGTGGCACATATACACCATGGAATACTATGCAGCCATAAAAAGGATGAGTTCATACCCTTTGCCAGGACATGGATGAAGCTGGAAACCATCATTCTCAGCAAACTATTACAAGAAGAGAAAACCAAACACAGCATGTTCTCACTCATAAGTAGGAGTTAACAATGAGAACACATGGACACAGGGAGGGGAACATCACACACCAGGGCCTGTTTGGGGGTAGGGGCTAGGGGAGGGATAACATTAGGAGAAATACCTAATGTAGACGATGGGTTTATGGGTGCAGCAAATCACCGTGGCACATGTATACCTACGTAACAAACCTGCACATTTGGCACATGCACCCCAGAACTTAAAGTATAATAATAAAAATAAATTAAAAATAAATAAAATTAAGACATCTTTAGATAAATAAAAATCAAAATACTTTTACTAAAGAAACTTCTAAAAGGCATATTTCAGAAAGAACAAAAATAATACCAGTTTAAAAGGTCTATGTATAATAAAATGGTAAAATGTTGGGAAATACAAGCAATTTTTATCCATATAAAATAGTAATAAAAATAAGTCTACTTCTAGCATGACACAGTGAAGAGGTTGGCAAATTCATTCCCCAAACAGCAACAATATTGCAAGACAAAATATTTAAAACAACCATTTCAGTGCTCTGTAAATCACTAAAGACAAAAAGAAGCAACAATTTAAAAGTAAAATGGGATAGTGGGGTCAATTCTTGAAGGGAACATAAACTTTTTCTACTCCTTTTATGTATGATGCCATTCATCCTCCAAGGAAACACTTTAGCTAGCTGTATTACTAATTATAAAAATGTTACTAGAAACTGGTAAAACCATTTCTATGGTTACAAATTACATTTTTATAACCTACCAGAGAAGCAAACTTCGTCATAGCAACTAAGTACCCCAAACACAAATATCAGTCAATAATCATGAGGTGCTTGTAATGACTCCTCCTACTTCTCTGGTTTCCAAGCAGGCCTTTAGAAAGTAAAGACTGTGAGCCTTTGGAGAGTGCTGTATGGTTTGCTCCTAATGTATCATATACCGATGGTCTAGAAACATTGGATGAGCTGTCATTATGTTCAGAAGGAGCAGAACCCTGTGGTCTCAGTATGTGAGGAGGAATCAGAGCCTTCTCAATTCTATTCCCGGATCT